CATTAGCTTACAACACTTAAATAGAGGCACACACGTACTATACTACTGTTGATCTCCTCTCCACTAGCCGGCAGCTTAGGCCACGATTAACAACCTCTTGGCAACGCCTCACGATTCGGCCGGCACCCTCCTTCCTAGCTGAATACTCGGTCCACATCTGAGCCAATGTAACAGCTATGGAGCTTGGTCAAGCAACGGTACACACGTACATCAGTACATGCATGCACACGGTCACACCCATGCACACAGATCACATGCTCATGCGTGGCTTATTCCTAACACTGCGACGCCGGAGGCCGATACCGCCGTTTGATGCGTTGGGTCCTTGTTTTTGGGCGCCGAACTGTGGCAACGTGATCTCCGAACTACACTGATCTCCAAACTTGTGGCGTTTTATGGGGGCGGGAAATGGACCTGTTCGAATTTGTGACGCCTTGGGGCGGCGCCTGGGGCGTGGCTGGGACCTGGATCGCCCCCATGGCCTAAAAAACACCGGGCGGGCGCCCGAAAGAGCGCCGGCCTTTGCGCTGGGGGGCCGAACGAGTGGAGATGCTCTTACACTCAAGGGCGTTGGGTTTGGGCATTCCTAAGTCACCGACCTCATTAGCGCTTGTGATAGGCTCAAGCATCTCTCCATGAAATGCTGCGACCTCGTCCACTTTGGGTGCACGCTGATAGAGCTCACCTCTGCCCCGAAGCTCAATAAAGTGCAATGCCACTGGTACCTCGACAACCCTCTGGTGCGCTTCGGCTATGTTCCCAAGCTTCGCCAAGTCAGCCACGTTTGTCTTGCCAATGCGTGGCAGGCGCCTTTCCTACTGAGCGGCTGCTTGTTAAGGAGTGCAACGAACCTGTCAAAATTGCATCTCAATTTTTGCCACCACATGGTAAAGCTAATTTCTATGCTCCATGTATTTTTTTTTATTTCCACCATATACGTTTCTTCTGCACACATATCATATGTTTTTTCTTCTCTACCAATTTCAGCTGTGTTTTTGTGTTCTTCTTCCTTCTGTAGATTTGGATTCAACTGGAACATTCGAAGCAGTTCACTGCTATATTTAGAAATCTGGCAGATATGTCCTTTTCTGGTATCTTCCCTGAGTGTTATCTGAGCTGGACCATATATATCCTTGAAGCTGCACCTGCCCTTCAGAAGTTAACAATAAGCCTGTTACTCTACCTTCTTTTTACTTTAATCCACATCTTAGCCTGGATACAACTCCATCTAGTGTGACAGGTTTCCAAATATTCAGCATTAACAACATACCAGCAAGTTAATCAGATTTTTAATCACTCACCGACTTAATCTATCACAAATTTTAGAAGTAATGCACACAGGCCGCATAGTCATTGGGATATATGGAGCACATGGATTGTATTGTATATTAATGATAATGCAATGCAAATTGAAGTTCTGACATTCCATTTCAATTTTGTAGAGGGACAATGTCCATGCAAGACGAAAAATTAACACGTTGGATCGTACTTCATGTTAGAGTTATCCAAAGCATATTCACATGTCTTACTTTCCCTAGGATTTAGTTCATGCAAGGTCGTCCAAACTCTACACGGGCCTAAGTTTAGATTACATAGTAGTAGTCGGCATGTTGCAATAATTTAAATGGCAGCTATATTAGTTTCAATTGTTATTACATTGTGCTAGATGGGTTAATGACAAGTTTAATTATTAACATGTGTTATTTGTCTTGTATACCCTTGAATGAAGTTATCTCGAACTCGGCATGAATGTGCTATAGAACTCGAGAGTAATTCCAAGAAGACTAACGTGTTGTGGGAGCCATCGAAGGATTTGAAGCACATGAACTTGACGTCGCTGATGCTAGACGGTTTCGAGGAGGAAGACAAGGTGACAAACTACATAAGGCTAGTCGTTGAACGAGCTGTGGGCTTGAAGAGAGTCGAGCTGTGTGGTGAAGACCCATGCAAGAAACGCGATGCCATTGACCCGAGGAGATCCCAGGTGGATGAAGCTCGTAGGCGTCGGATCAAGGAGCGGCTCACACATGGAACCTCCTCATCCGCGGAGATAGTAATGTGCTGATCACGTATCATGCTTGCAGCTGCTGTATGTGGCGCACCCAGTAGTACTTTAATTTCTTGGTACTGATCGCCTGAGAATACTTGATCGGTGTGGACCTCGCAGTGTAGCCAGGTCGTTATTTCAATAAGGGAAAAAATACCAGAGAAGTGTGTCAAGGTAACAAAGCTTCAGACCGCACCATGTCTCTGCTCATGACTGAGCTCAGTTACCACTGCATTTTGTCATGTTTAGTACTCCCTCCGTCCGGAGTACTTGTCATGGAAATGGATAAAAGGAATGTATCTAGACGTACTTTAGTTCTAGATACATCTCTTTTTATTCATTTTGATGACAAGTATTTTCGGACGGAGGGAGATACTCCCTCCGTCCGAAAATACTTGTCATCAAAATGAATAAAAAGGGATGTATCTAGATGTATTTTAGTTCTAGATACATCCTTTTTTATCCATTTTGATGACAAGTATTTTCAGACGGAGGGAGTATGTCTCAAAGAAAGAGTTAAAATTACAGTGGTTGTTCTGTCTAATGAGAAATTCTTCATATTTTAATGCAGGATCATCTTTGACATTTTTTTTAAAAGGGCCAGACAAGCAAAAGTCAACATTCTTTGTGAGCGTTTTCTCAAGTGAAATCCCTTGGAATCAAATCAAGAACAGCAGTTTTGGATATTACGTACTTCACTTATTTCTTAGTTTGTTTCTTGTTGAGGTTTCAGGTTTAGGGACTGGGACATAATAAATGTGATATTCTCATGTCATGTCTCAACACTGTAGAGAGCGCTTAGGCTGTTCATTTGCACCATATGGCGACAGGGCTCGTTATTTTCATTTTTTCTGCAGGTGTGCAGATGACGCGCCGTTTGCCCCAATCTACCAGGTCTCGAAGGACAAGATAAGAAGTCTGGGCATGGAGTTGACCCCCCCTGGAGACGAGCCTCAAGGAGACCATTGACAGCTTGAGAGTGGCAGACACTGGATGCACACATGTTTATGTGCACCTGAAATAAATCGAGACATTTTGTATTCCTGAGCCATTTATATGTGAATCTGCTGTGTTTCAATAGGTTCGAGTTCCGAGACATGTATTACCGGTACACAGAAATGTATATGAATGCTTCTAAAAAAATTATACATCCTGTACTCTTTACTGACGCCTTTTTGGAACACACCAATCTCAAAACAGATAGAAAAAAAAGGGTTGTTTTCTTTTGGCGTACACCAAACAAACCCGATAAGCATGATGTGGTTGGATGGAAATTTCACAGAACAATACTGGGGGTGAAAAATAGAAGATCAAAATAGAACAATACTGGTCCTAGTGGAAGTTCTGAAGTTCAGGAACTCAAGAGGTTGAGAGAACAGCTGCATATACTTCGAACCTTTGTTCAGGTGCTACTTCTTGTATGCTGAATCAGTATAATATAACCAGCAACAACTCCAATCATTCTCCATTTACAGATCTTCATGCTTGAAAGCTAGTTACATGCAGGTAGAGGCACATCTGAAAGCCTCTAGAATACTGCAAAGGTGAGTCTGAGAAGAGGTTGGGCGGGTTACCGGGTGACACTCTGTTTTAGCATGTGAGTGTAGCAACCCAATTGTGGAACATCTCCCTGCGATAATGAATCGATGGGCCGAGTCTTCCAGTTCACTATAGCATGTCATTCTTCGGACAGTTTTGTTGTCCACCAAGAAGTGCCATTGTTTGACCTGCAAGACAGTTAATGTATGCATCCCTAAAAGGAGGTTCGGGCCTATTGATGCATCAGTTCTACAAGAAGCATCAGGGAAACAGAGGTTGGTTGTAGCAATGGTCACATCAACCTTGCGCTCTCTTACCAGATGTAACAACATCTTTCATCTCACTACATGGCTAAATATATGCAACCAATAGTGGACAAATACCTGACAGTTTTCTGGAGCTAGTGAAGAGATTAAAATGTCTATGATACAATCATAGCCATGCAGCCCCATATCCTTTAGTTCACTAAACTTTGCATGCTCTACTCTTCAGCAACATTACTTGCTAAAAAACAGAACTGCGGTAACATCAGCACTTGGCACTGCTTGACAATGATAAGGCATAATCTTATCAGTCACCCTCCGATTAGCGATAAATCGGAAGATTTCTTGAACAGTGCTTGGCAGGTAGCACTAATTAACCCATGAGATTATTAATTAAAAAAACCCAGCAAGCCAGCGTGTAAAAAGGATCAACGTAATATATCAAGGGCAACAGAAATTCACCATCTCTCTGGAGATGGCCTCATCATCCTCTCACCAACAGTACATCTTTTGAAAGATGAATTTAAAGATTGGATCAAAGCAGGGAGAGAGCAAACTGTAGAGTTTTTAAAATGGTAAAAACAGTTACTGTCTGCAAATGCATTTTCAAGCAAATTCTACAACAGCGCACATAAAATTAGAGGTTCATTACAAAGATAATCAATTCACCCCGCCATTAACACAGGAGATTATCAAGCTAACTGACAAAAACAACATCAGAAAACAAGCAAGCACCACTGCACCAAAAAGGAGTATTGAATAATGACATAATTCATCACAAGACCCCTGTTGTGTCCAAGTTTGTCACCTATCTTGTTGATGAATGTAGCTTTGTACATATTCAACCACACACTCATAATTCGCTGCATCACTGGGGGTCACCCTTTCTGCAAACATAGATTTTGTGAGATTCCAAAAGGGGAATTACATGATACTGTATAAATTGCCAATTAAGTAAGCATAATTAGCTGTAATCACATGGCACTCAAAGTTTGCTCGGGCCCATTTCAAACATAACTTTCAATCCGAATAGGCATTCAATGTTTTGTTTGTTCCAGTAACTTATATGGAGTATTATTTAAGAGTTGTTCCCAAATCACAAAAGAAAGGACACGTAGATACAAATATACCTTGTGGATTGTAAAAACATCTCAGTCTTCTTCCGATTCAGATTCAAGATCTTCTTCAGATTCAGATTCAGATTCAGGATCTTCGTACGATTCAGATTCAAGATCATCTTCCCCAGCCTGAGTAATTCTCGGCAGCTGACCAATCGGCGCCACAGACGCTGCATCATGAGCTCGCATCTCCGCTGACGATCCCTCCAGCAGATTCTTCTTATCGCCACCATTCCGCAAACCTGCCCACAAAGAAAGAAAAACGCAGATGTAGCAAATCAGCTCAACAGGAGCCAGTTGCCCAATATAAATTTCAGATTTCCCAGCAAAAGGAAAAACTGATGTACCACATGAAAATTAAGTCCTACTGCTATTTTGTCAGCATCCCACAAAAAAAAACTTAGTGAAGCAGCTGTGTCCATCGGAGAAAAAGAGTTGTCGATGGATATAGGTATACCTTGTGGATTGTGGAAACTCATGTACGGGATGAAAGCTCGAAACTTTTTTCTCTCCCATTCCCTCTTCCACTGTAGTGACTTGAGATTAATCTTGTAGATGCCAAGATCCGTGGTCACGAAAATGATATCGGTGCCTTCCACAGATCCAATCAGCCTAAGTCCTTTATTTGGATTTCGAATGGGAAGAATGTCCTTGATATTGATGACTGTACGCTGAGTCCATGACGCAACTCCGTCAGAACCCATGTGCCTTGACCACAGATTGAGGATTAAGCCGTAGACATGTGCAAACCCCAAACTGTCATCCTCCATCGCCATGAGGATAGAAGCATTGGCATTGACAGACCACGCAAGGGGCATATCAATCAGTGATAAGCTATTAGTGCTCATGTCGTACTTGAGAATTCCTACTACGCGATGTTCGGCACAGTTACAAAGCTTGAAATGAAGTGCGTCTTGGACGAAGACAGGGGGCGCTTCGTAGATGTACAAATCGGAGTCAAGATGAAGAGCAGAGCACGGCTTGCTCCACTTATCAAAAGGAGATTGAAGGCCCGGCTTGCTGTGGTTACTCGTCACCGGCAAGGACACGCACGCCCGTGCAACACACTCATCTTCATGACAATGGTCCAGGCCGACAAAGACGACCTGGAAGGGGCCTGCGTGACAAGTGTGGTGGTCACAGCCGGCCACGGCGCAGACCACCGCGGCCCCATAGGTGTTGTCTACCAGGGGGGGCGCCTCCAGCTCCCTCCGGCAGCCCGTCATGGGGTCCCAAACGACGAGCGTCATTGGTGTATAGGCCACTTCGCCAATGAGAACGCGGCCATGACGGCAGTCCAACGCACTGTAGCCCAACCAGTCGTCGTCGGGGATGCACGCACGAAATTTGGTGGTGGGGAGAAAGTGTGGGATGTTATCTTCCGTCTCCGGGCGGGAGTTGGAGTGGAAGAAATAAAGGAAGCCCAGCATGGGGGGAGCTCCATGCAGCTCACGGTAGCGGCCGCGGAATCGAGCGCCGGAGAGGAGGCCGAGCCAGCGCTTGCTGGAGAGGGAGGCGCGCACGAGGTGCTCTGGCTCGTCCGGCGGAAGGCGGAGGAAGATCTCCTCGAGGAGCTCGTCCAGCAGCGCCGGTGCCGGCGGCGACATGGTGGGTGGGTGGAGGCGGCGAGGGTTTCGATCGGGTGGGGAAAAGTTTGAGGTGCTGCGGCGGAAGGAAGGAGAGATCTCTCACGAGCTCGCTTTTCTTCTCTCGTGTGGTCTGGGTGGGTGGGGTGGGTGGGCCTCTTCTTTTCTTTCTTTTGGGCTCCGCTCCTTCTTTCCTTTCCTCTTTTGATGAATTGACATGTACAAATGCTTGGGAGAAGCCATTGATTTGGCGCTCCCATGATTATTAAATTGGACAACAACACCCTTGATGAAAAATATAACATTGAACACCCTTGGTGCTCCTAGGCAGCAATGGTCAGGGTGGCGGCGGGGTTCCTCGGCACGGCGCGGGCGGGCGGCTGGGCGGCGGGGTGGCATGACCTGGCGGCGGGGCAGGTCTACGACATGACTTCCGGAAGCGGGGGAGCGGCGATGAGCGGCTGTGTGTTGGCGGCACCGACGCCGGCCTGCTGCAGCGTGGCCGGCGGGGCTTAGCGGACCCATTTCGGGCCTGACCGGGCTAGGAGTGGCCTGGTATGCCCTGCTGCCGTGTTCGGACGGCGACCGTAAAGGTGCCGGAGGCGCGGGCCTCTCGCACGACGGCGGTGGAGGTGGTTCCCCTCACGCTCGGCTTCGGTGCTGCTGCTCCCGTCGCTTGGCACTTCTCTTCGGTCTTCTTGGTCTCGTGTTGGTGTTTGTAGTGAGACGGCATGGGTGGCGGCGCAACCGCGTTGGCGCATGGTGTTGGGCGGTGGTTTGGCTGGTCGGCTCCAGTTTGGCGGTGGGGTTTAGAGCGTAGGAGAAATCCTTGCCGGTTCGTCCGGCTCTGATGCGGTGACACCGGTGGGTGCCACCATTCCTTCCTGAAGGGTGTTGGTGGTGGCCATCCCCCACTTTCCCTGCGCGTGCCGGGGGAAACCCTCGGACACGTCCGGGCAGCAACGTCGTCAGTGTCGCATCCCTTCTTGGAGGTGTTGCTTCGTATGCGGCGGATCGAAGCCTCGGGCTATGATGGTTTGTTTCCGGAGGGCGCATCGGTGGCGGATCATCCGCGCTTTGTCGAGTTGTCGTTGTTGGCATTTGTTTCTTTTTTTAGGCTTGATGTGCTGCTCGCCCCAGCAATGCTATCTGTACGGTGTTTGTTGCTTTGAAATACAAAGCGAGGGAAACCCTTTTTCAGTAAAACTGAAACATTACAAACATACAAGGGGAATTCACTGCTGCCATCCCAGACTTACACAAGCCGTTGGTGCGTAGTAAGCCCAGTTCATGTCGCACCTGATGTGCATGGCCAGATCATGTGAGTCGTTGTAACTGTGACCGGGAAGTCACAGACTGTTGCCATGAGACACCAACAACAACAGTCTAAAGCATGGCCCATCTACATGAGGAAGAATGTGAAGGCCGGCGAGGCCACCGGAGCCACGCCAAGCCGAGGCGAAAGCATCGTGTCTGACGACTCTCACCCACAAGCCTATAGATCGGATTCGAGGTAAACAATCCTCACACGCCTCATAGTGATGCCGAGACCAGCGACACAACTACGAGGACGGGCCTCAAGATAGTTATTCCCCTGTGTCGCCGCCTCCACCATCCAGACAAACAACACAAAAAGACCAAAACCTAGCAAACTAGACCAATACTCCCCCATGAAGGAGAAGATACATGTCGTCCCCGCCTACTGGCACCAATTGGCCTCTAGAGATGAGGGAGACTTAGATAATCAGTCGACGAGGGCGAATGCTTAGTGATGGCTATGTTGGAAATATGCCCTAGAGGCAATGACAAAATGTTTATTATTATATTTCCTTGTTCATGATAATTGTCTATTGTTCATGCTATAATTGTGTTATCCGGAAATCGTAATACATGTGTGAATACGTACACCACAACATGTCCTTAGTTAGCCTCTAGTTGACTAGCTCGTTGATCAATGGATGGTTACGGTTTCCTGACCATGGACATTGGATGTCATTGATAACAGGATCACATCATTGGGAGAATGATGTGATGGACAAGACCCAATCCTAAGCATAGCACAAGATAGTATAGTTCGTTTGCTAGAGCTTTTCTAATGTCAAGTATCATTTCCTTAGACCATGAGATCGTGTAACTCTCGGATACCGTAGGAGTGCTTTGGGTGTACCAAACATCACAACGTAACTGTGTGACTATAAAGGTATACTACAGGTATCTCCAAAAGTGTCTGTTGGGTTTCACGGATCAAGACTGGGATTTGTCACTCCGTATGACGGAGAGGTATCTCTGGGCCCACTCGGTAATGCATCATCATAATGAGCTCAATGTGAGCAAGTGGTTGGTCACGGGATCATGCATTACGGTACGAGTAAAGTGACTTGCCGGTAACGAGATTGAACGAGGTATTGGGATACCGATGATCGAATCTCAGGCAAGTAACGCACCGATTGACAAAGGGAATTGCATACGGGATTGCTCGAATCCTTGACATTGTGGTTCATCCGATGAGATCATCGTGGAACATGTGGGAGCCAACATGGGTATCTAGATCCCGCTGTTGGTTATTGGCCGGAGAGCTATCTCGGTCATGTCTGCATGATTCCCGAACCCGTAGGGTCTACACACTTAAGGTTCGGTGATGCTAGGGTTATTAGGAAGACTTGTAAGTGATTACCGAATGTTGTTCGGAGTCCTGGATGAGACCTTGAACGTCAGGAGGAGTTCCGGAATGGTCCGGAGGTGAAGATTTATATATGGGAAATTGTCATACAGTCACTGGAAAAGTTCGGGGGCTTATCGGTATTGTACCGGGGCCACCGGAGGGGTTCCGGGGGTCCACCGGGAGGGGCAACCTCTCTCGGAGGGCCTCATGGGCCGTAGTGGGCCGGGAACCAGCCCCTGGAGAGCTGAGCGCATCCCCCCTTGGGCCCATGCGCCTAGGGTTGGGGGGGACCCTAGAGGGGGCGACCCCCTTGCTTGGGGGGCAAGGCCCCTCCCCTTGGCCGCCCCCCTTTAGATCTCATCTAGAGGGAGCCGGCCCCCTTCCCCCTTCCCCTATAAATAGAGGGGCGAGGGGAGGGCTGCACAAAACATCCAAGGCGCAGCCCCTCCCCTCCCCAACACCTCTTCTCTTCCGTTAAGAGCTTGGCGAAGCCCTACCGGAGTACTGCCTCTCCACCACCACCACGCCATCGTGCTGCTGCTGGAGCTCTCTTCCTCAACCTCTTGTTGGGGAACGTAGCAGAAATTCAAAATTTTCCTACGTGTCACCAAGATCTATCTATGGAGAAACCAGCAATGAGGGGAAGGAGAGTGCATCTACATACCCTTGTAGATCGCTAAGCGGAAGCGTTCAAGAGAACGGGGTTGAAGGAGTCGTACTCGTCGTGATCCAAATCACCGGAGATCCTAGTGCCGAATGGACGACACCTCCGCGTTCAACACACGTACAGCCCGGTGACATCTCCCACGCCTTGATCCAGCAAGGAGAGAGGGAGAGGTTGAGGAAGACTTCATCCAGTAGCAGCACAACGGCGTGGTGGTGATGGAGGAGCGTGGCAATCCTGCAGGGCTTCGCCAAGCACCTGCGGGAGAGGAGGAGGTGTCACGGGAGGGAGGGAGGCGCCAGGGCTTCAGGTGTGGCTACCCTCCCTCCCCTCCACTATATATAGGGGCAAGGGAGAGGGGGGAGGTGCAGCCTTGCCCCTTCCTCCAAGGAAGGGGTGCGGCCAAGAGGGGGGAGGAGTCCATCCTCCCCAAGGCACCTCGGAGGTGCCTTCCCCTTTTAGGACTCTCCCCTCCCCAAGTCTCCTTGGCGCATGGGCCTCTTGGGGCTGGTGCCCTTGGCCCATATAGGCCAAGGCGCACCCCCTACAGCCCATGTGGCCCCCCGGGGCAGGTGGACCCCCCCGGTGGACCCCCGGACCCCTTTCGGCACTCCCGGTACAATACCGATAAAGTGCGAAACTTTTCCGGCGACCAAAATAAGACTTCCCATATATAAATCTTTACCTCCGGACCATTCCGGAACTCCTCGTGACGTCCGGGATCTCATCCGGGACTCCGAACAACATTCGGTAACCACATACAAACTTCCTTTATAACCCTAGCATCATCGAACCTTAAGTGTCTAGACCCTACGGGTTCGGGAACCATGCAGACATGACCGAGATGTTCTCCGGTCAATAACCAAGAGCGGGATCTGGATACCCATGTTGGCTCCCACATGTTCCACGATGATCTCATCGGATGAACCACGATGTCAAGGACTCAATCGATCCCGTATACAATTCCCTTTGTCTAGCGGTATTGTACTTGCCCGAGATTCGATCGTCGGTATACCGATACCTTGTTCAATCTCGTTACCGGCAAGTCTCTTTACTCGTTCCGTAACACATCATCCCGTGATCAACCCCTTGGTCACATTGTGCACATTATGATGATGTCCTACCGAGTGGGCCCAGAGATACCTCTCCGTTTACACGGAGTGACAAATCCCAGTCTCGATTCGTGCCAACCCAACAGACACTTTCGGAGATACCTGTAGTGCACCTTTATAGCCACCCAGTTACATTGTGACGTTTGGTACACCCAAAGCATTCCTACGGTATCCGGGAGTTGCACAATCTCATGGTCTAAGGAAAAGATACTTGACATTAGAAAAGCTTTAGCATACGAACTACACGATCTTTGTGCTAGGCTTAGGATTGGTTCTTGTCCATCACATCATTCTCCTAATGATGTGATCCCATTATCAATGACATCCAATGTCCATGGTCAGGAAACCGTAACCATCTATTGATCAACGAGCTAGTCAACTAGAGGCTTACTAGGGACATGGTGTTGTCTATGTACCCACACATGTATCTGAGTTTCCTATCAGTACAATTATAGCATGGATAATAAACGATTATCATGAACAAGGAAATATAATAATAACTAATTTATTATTGCCTCTAGGGAATATTTCCAACAGTCTCCCAGTTGCACTAGAGTCAATAATCTAGTTCACATCGTCATGT